ATACTGATCTCGGGCCGTCCTTGGCTCCTTGTCCATAATTATTTTAGATCTGTTGTTCGCTCTGTTGGGGTAAACAGACCCCCGAGGAGGCCCCTAGCTGGTCGTCCTCGACTTGGATCTTCGACTGATACCTATTATGGACCTCGGCTGAAGTAACCAGACTTCACCAAGTAGCTCTTCAATTGCTGAGAAGCAATGGAACTTCAAGAGTTAAGCCCTTGAGTGAATGACTGAACGACCCAATCATCTGAGACCGGGGGCAGGTCCATTCGCTCCATCTGGAACCTCGACATGAATTCCATAAGCATCTCGTTGTCTCTCTGCTTGACTTTGAAGAGGTCCAATTTACTCGTCTCGACCTTGATGGTGCCACCATGGGCTTTAACGAAGCGTCTGCAAGCATAACAAATGAATCAATAGGATTTGAAGGCAAGTTATGGTACCATATCATTACTCATTTGGACAAGGTTTCCCCAAATTTCTTCAATAACACCGACTCGATCTCCTGATCTTCTAGGTCATTGCCTTTTATTGCACATGTAAAGGAGGTTACATGCTCGTTTGGACCTGTGGTCCCATTATATTCGGGAATGTCGGGCATTCGGAATCTCTTCGAAATTGGCTTCGGTGCCGCACTTGGGGGGAAAGGTTTCTGAATAAATTTTTCGAAATCCGGCCTTTCAATATTGGAGGCGCTCCCGAGATATAATCGACCCTCGAATTGTAAGTTTTCACCTTCTTGTAATTTGCCTCTATCTTTTTCTCACCGGACTTCCCTCGCTTTGTTAGCGCTTCGAGCATTTTCATCACCTCAGAAGTTTCTTCGGGTCCGAACTCATCTGGTTCCACGGTAACTTCTTCATCTCTTTGAGCGTTTTCTCTAACCTGCTTGGGTTCGGTCATGTTCTGGGCGTGATTTTGGGTCTGTAGTTGTGCTATCACCACTTGGTGAGCTTGTAACATCTCGAAAATCAATCGTAATCTAACTCCATCACCTTCCCCTTTGGGTGCTTCTCGAACCGATGGTTGGAGTGCCCCGCAAATGCTATTTCGGGATCAGTTGGCAGGTTGATGTTGATGACAACTTGTGAGTTAGCATCGATCGGGTCAGCGATTGGGATACCATTGGGATCAACAGGGGATACGTTATTGCTTGGTACCACGTTATTGTTTTCACCGTGGTGGCCTGACTCGATGTCAATGTTTAAGCAAGCAGACTGAGAATTTGACATTTTAGATTAACCTGAAATCAAACATCAAAGACAATTGTAAAATAGGGTGTGTTATGGAGATTAGTATTAAATCCACTATTATCCTTTACCACACGGTGTGCGCCAAAATGTTTACCCTTAAAATGAGAAACAACTGAATTTATACACAGTTTAAAGGATATGTGGTTCAATCTAACACGAATGAACTATGAATAATATAACTGAATTAAAGGAAATTAGAGCGATCAAACCAAATGTAATGGATGATAAGTCTAGCTTGGCAATGGACGTTCGGAAATCGGTTTCGATTTAGACCTCGGAAGAAATCGGTTTCGATTTAGACCTCGGAATGAGCTCGGTCACAACTTAATAAACAAGCAGCTCATGAACACTTTGAACAACTTATTGCTTTGATATGTGTGCCAACAATGGTCTTAAAATATAAAAATTCTCCCATTTATATAGTAGGAAAATTTCATTCCTAGTACAAGTCTAAATAAGGTAAAAAATCTTCTCTTTCCAGTAAACGCTGATACGCAGTTGATATCGGGCAAGATTCGTGTCGTAATACACGGTTGAGAGCGGATATTTCGGCCCCTTGCTTATCTTGTCTAACTATTTTTTCCCTTAGTCTCGGCTCTTCACTCTGCTCGGGCCCAATGCTCGGCCGCGTCCGGTCTCGGGTGCACTATTTGTTCTCCCCGGGCTTTGAGACGTGAAATCTCTCGACTTTACTTGAGGCCATATCAGGTCGTGCTTTCCTTCCGTTTTCCCGATTTTACTCGTACACAATATAGATTAAGTACAACGATGACAATAAAAAGGTTAGAAAACCGACTAAAAAAACAGGTAAAAATACAATATCAGCTCCTTCTCCTTCTCTTGAACTATGGAACTACTTTTTTGTCACTAATTTACTCATAAAACAGTAAATTTGTAACTAGCTATTATTCATGCTAAATTTTATATTGGTGAAAACTGAATATGCCACCTGTTGCATTAACAATTTGGGGTTTTTTAAATCTAAAAAGAGTATTTCATTGTTCAGTTTTTTGTAATTCATTTGATGAAGAATGCTATAAAAAGAAAAAATAATTTCATTTTGTAGCGCACTTTCTATCTTTAAAAAAAAAAAACATTCTATTCTTATTTAAAAAACTTCATGTTAACGCAAAATGGCCAGGCAAAGTGGCACATTAAGAAGTGTACACGTGGAAGTATTTTTCGCCGTTAACTCATCTGTCTCCTCAATTCTCTCTGGCAATACCGAGACAGTGGCATTTCGGCTAATAACATCAAAACGAGTGTCATTTTAATGCCCAAAGTGTCAACACAACATTGACAAAGTTTCCGAAAGGTGAAGCTAACTTTTACTTTTAGAGTCCACTTCGCTTGCAGAATCACTAATACTTTTTCAATAAAGAATTTATTAATAAGTATTGATGCAGCTCTTATTTTAATCTATACTTATTTAGTATTAACGGTTTTTCATTTAAGTAATTGGTTCATTGTTAAATAACTAGGCATTTGAACAAAGTTGGTCCAAGTTAAAAAAAAAAAGTACTATTTGACAGTTGATTAAGTTTTATATATAAGGATATAAATATTACTTGCAAATATATTTTTGGCGAAAGTTAAAGATGTGTGAGTAAACTTGTTATTTCGTCAATATTCACACTCGATTGCCACATTCATATTTGTAGAAAATTTAAGTTGAATACATTGATAGGGATATTTTTATGTTAATATTGTATTTTAACTTATGGTTTCGTATACTTGTCTTATTTTTAAGTTACAAATTTTAGCAATTATAAAAAAATTTATCGATAATTATTTTTTAGATAACTTGATTACGTAAGGAAGTTTATTGCACAGTGTAGTAAATAAATTCTTTTATTGATTTTTCTTCCGTGTTTGTTATTTTTGAGATCTAACTAATTTGAATTGCATACAAAAAAGTTATACTTCCTATCAAAGATGACTAATTTTTCATCGCTCGAATACGAAATTACTAATAAATAATGGATGGATATTTACAATGGTGGATCTACATTGAACCTTAGAGCTTGTTTGGATGGTTGTTACATGTCGTTTCATATTGTATTGTATTGTATTGTTTGATAAATACAACGTTTGGATAGATTATATTGTTTGCCGTTATTTGATAATGTCACGAACCAACAACATGAAGAACAAACTTGCATTATTACTAAAAAAAATAGGATACATAGTAGAATTATTATATAAATAGTAGGATAAATGATAAAATATGATTATTTAATAATAATGAAGGGCAAGATGAGAGGAAAAAGCAAGGTACGATGCCACCACACTAAATCCGTCATTATATAAAGTGGCCTTTTTCGTCATTACATGACGGCAGATCTAACGATACGATACAATAAAATTTAACATTATATTTAAAGTAACAATACGATACAATACAATATGTAACAACCATCCAAACAAGTTGTTATGGGTGCTTAAGCACCCATCGATTTTAGCCAAACACTATATATCTATATTGGAAACTAGTAATTATATACAAGAATATTGATCGAGCACCCAATCTTAAAAATAGAAATTCCAGTTAAAGACGATTGAGCACCCACGATTTAAAAATTCTGGATCCGTCTCTGGATATTTAGAGCATGTGTTGGCCAAATTGTAAAAGATTATTTATTTTAAAAAGTACTTTTAGAGAGTAGTAATTTATGTTCGACCAATTCATTTGAATAATACTTTTTTCCATACTTGATAAGCAAATTGTGATTAACTAGTTTTTCTAAAAAGTACTTTGATTATTAAATTACGAAAAAGAACAGTAAAAATTTAGTTTGCAACTAATATTTTTTAAGAAGGAGAAATAAATTTAAACATTTATTATAAAAATTCAATTAAAATATAATACATAAAGTAAAAATAAAAATTAGAGATTTTAATAAATATAAATATAATTATCCGAAGTAATAATATTGAATATCTGGTATTACTTATTATTTACACGATGATTTAGATATATCAAACAACATCATTCATTATAAATTAAAAATCTACTCTATAAATTACTACTAATAAAAGAAGAGAGCTATTTACTGTATTCCAAAGAGGAATAAAAATACGATGAATAAAAAAAATGAAGAAGAGAACGTAGGAAAAAAGAGGAAGAAAAGGTTAAATTATTTAGATAATTTTTTAAATATAAATTTATTGCAAGTGATGTTTTGTCTTAAATAAAGTTTTTTTTTTTATTTTTGCTTTTGCTTTTTGGGAAAATTCTCTACAAATAGTACCCTTTATGCCTGATATTACATGGTAAATTTATAACTTGTTCTTAAAACCAGAAAAACTACTTATTATGTTATATTGTGTTGTCAAAAAAAGAAAGATATTATTGCTCAAAAGCGTTTCATCTTGGTCAAACTCAAACATCTCAAATTTTCCAAACACAAAAAGTACTTTAGCCTCCCAAACATTGGCCAAACAAGCTCTTACCTGTTACTCCCTCCGATTTATTTTAATTAATTTTTTAATCCTTTTTTATGATTTATAATATTTAATTTTTTCAAATATCAAAAAAGAATTAATTAGTTTTTTTTGAAATTGTCCTTGAAGTAAAGAGCTTAGGGTATTTGTTGTATTTTTAATGAAAAAATCAATATTAATATAATCAACTTTATTATTAATTAATCTTAAAAAATAAATTTCTTATTATATTTGAAATCAATTAAAAAATTAATTAAAATGAACCGGAGTTAATCTCTTTGTAAATACCGACGTTAAGTGTTTTTCCACAAGACATTCTCTCTCTCTACACACTCTCTCTCTCTCTCTTTCACACAGAAGAGACCACACTACACAACACGCTTATACACCCAACTTTCTCTCCTTCCTCTTCTCTCTCCATTGCCATTTACTGTTCTAGGCTTATCTCCCTTGTTTTTCTGAGCTGAAGTGCTAAACTACTTCTCTCTATAACTTGTGTTTCTCGGCAGAAACTTTCTAAAAAGAAAATTGGCACTAGGCAAATGGATACAGCAAAATATACACCCATTAATGGTGGAAAAACTCTCTTTACAGACCTGAAAGCTCACTTTTCTTTTCTGAAAACCAAAAGAACTGTTACTTGTGCATATGGGTTCATGTTTGTATTCGTTGCTGTTACATTTTTCTTGGCTTTTAGTCCTTCCCCTAACTCATCTTCTCCTTGGTTCACAAACATTTTCTCTTTAAGCAGTAGCACTAGTACTAGTGGAACTATTTCTACAACATCAGCTCCAATTTCCTCTGATCAATCTTATGGATCTCACTTTTCTTCAGTTTATTCTTACTTTTTTCCCAACTCTTCACAGCAAGTTCAAAACTTTACTACTCCCAGATCCCAAAACTCAACATTTGAGCCTCCCAATTTGCAAAAAGAATTGGGTATTGGGAAAAATGTGACTTCAAATAATGACTCACATGATAAAGTTGAAGTCTTGAAAAACCCCTTGAAGCCTTCTGTGAATGTGACAGCTCAAAAATCTTCGTCTGGGTCGAATCAAGAATCATCAAGTGTAAAGAATCAGCCCCAAAGTAAAGATTTTGATGATAAAGTTGGAGTATTGAAGGCAAATCAGAGCTCAAATTCAGCACCAAAATCTTCTTCTGGAACTAATGAAGAATCATCAAGCGCAAAGAATCAGACCCAAAGTAATGATAAAGTTGGAGTCTTGAAGGCAAATCAGACCACAAATTCAGCACCAAAATCTGCTAATGGGAGTAAAGAGAACGAAATTGAGGGAGTGAAGAGTAATTTCACATCTTCGTTTGTGAAAAAACAGAGTAATGGGACTAACTTAGATGTGTCGGCAAAGAAGAAGGATGAAGATGTGGTTAAGTCTTTGTTGGATTGTGATTTCTTTGATGGGAATTGGGTGAAAGATGAGTCTTACCCTTTGTATAAACCTGGTTCTTGTTCTCTTATTGATGAGCAATTCAACTGTTTTCTCAATGGTAGACCTGATAGTAATTACATCAAAATGAAATGGAAGCCCAATGCCTGTACTCTTCCAAGGTAAGATTTTGCTATTTATCCTCAACCTAATTCTAGTTTAAATATTTTTATCTGACCTATGAACTCCAAATTAGATCGACCCCAACTTGTTTGGAACTAAAGCGTTGTTGTTGTTGTTGTTGATGAACACCAAATATAGGCTTCAAGGATCCTATACTTCTTTAGTTTTCCATTTCTCAAGATGTTTCATTGCTTATGGAATGTGGCATTTTCCATTTTCGATTATTATCTGTTAGATTTGATTTCGCTTACAAATTAAACCATGATTTCTTTATCTGAAAGTTGTTCTTTTTCTTCAATCATGTAATCTTAGATTAGTCAAATTGGTATTTACTTCCATATATAAGTATCCTTACAGTTGATTTTTTTGACAGATTGAATGGCACTCATATGCTGGAATTATTGAGAGGAAAAAGATTAGTATTTGTTGGTGATTCACTCAATAGGAACATGTGGGAATCACTTGTTTGCATACTTAGAAACTCTGTAAAAGATCAGAAGAAGGTTTATGAAGAATTTGGGAGACACCATTTTAGGACAGAAGCTTCCTATTCATTTCTATTCGAAGTAAGATATTCATTTCTGCTGTTAAACATCATCATTATATGTTCATAAAAAAAAAAGCAGCCCGGTGCACTAAGCTCCCGCTATGCACGGGGTCCGGGAAAGGGCCGGACCACCAGGGTCTATTGTATGCAGCCCTACCCTACATTTCTGCAAGAGGCTGTTTCTGCGGCTCGAACCCGTGACTTCTTGGTCAAATGGCAGCAACTTTACCAGTTACGCCAAGGCTCCCTTCGATCATTATATGTTCATATTCTTATGAATTGTTTCTTAAATATTCAGGAGTACAATTGCAGAGTGGAGTTCTTTGTATCTCCTTTCTTGGTTCAAGAATGGGAATTTGCAGATAAAAAAGGAGTGAAGAAGGAAACTCTTAGACTTGATTTAATTGGACAGTCTGCTGATAAATATAAAAATGCAGATATATTAGTCTTCAACACCGGCCACTGGTGGACTCACGAGAAGACTTCCTTGGGGTAAAGTTTATTGAGTTTTTCAACATATATGGTCTGTTTGTTATGCTTAAAATAATTAAAACAATGGTGCATGTTACAGGAAGGACTATTATCAAGAAGGAAGTCACGTGTACAGCGAATTAGATGTCCTTGAAGCATTTCGAAAAGCTTTAACAACATGGGGAAGATGGGTTGATTCCCATGTAAATCCCCACAAGACATTTGTTCTCTTTAGAGGTTATTCTGCATCTCATTTTAGGTAATTCTAACCTTGAAACACACCATATTAGATTTACTTGTCAATGGTTCCAACTTCTTTTCTCTGTAGCAGTATCATTATTTATCCGGTTACCACTTAATTATCCGCTATAACAATAAAGTTACAAAACTATTCTTTGTCACGTTAAAGTAACTAACTGAACTATGTGAAAATTGCTCGAAAACTTTTGCTTAAACTATGTATTTTTTTTTTTTGACAGTGGTGGACAGTGGAATTCAGGTGGAGCTTGTGACCATGAAACAGAACCAATCAAGAACAACACATATCTTACTCCTTATCCATCTAAGATGAATGTATTGGAGAGAGTATTGAGAGGAATGAAAACTCAAGTCTCCTATCTCAATGTCACAAGAATGACAGATTATAGAAAAGATGGTCACCCATCAATATATAGGAAACAAAAATTGACCAATGAGGAGAAGAAATCTGAATTGTTGTTCCAAGATTGCAGCCATTGGTGCCTCCCTGGTGTACCTGATGCTTGGAATGAGCTTCTATATGCCAAACTCTTAGTAAATCAACACATGAAAAAACAAGATGACAAAAAGACATAAAGGGGCGGGCTCATTATTCATCGAGTGAGTTTCGAACTCTGCGTTATTGACCCTCGAGGATGGATTTCTCGGTTATGGTACCCAAAAAAACGGGTAACAAGCACTTGGAGAAAGAGTATGTTCATATTGTAAACTATATATGCGAGATTAGAGAAGTTTTCTTTAGGAGAGATATGTGAACTTAGAGTAATTTATTTTATGTGTATTTATAAGAGGAGAGTGACAAAGAGATTTTGACTGTTTACTTATAATCAAACAGTTGTAAGTCTCTGTTACTTGCTTCCTATATTTTACCGAGTCTTAAGGGCTCGACACTGTAAATTTCATAATTACTTACACTATTTATTTCAAATTAATTAATGTTACATACGTTTAATTATGTTTGTTGGATCAGGGGTTTTGTATACATCATTAGTCAACGATGTAGTCCAGAATTTTTATTTTCAATTGTTATACAAAATTGTTGTTTGACACATAGCATTTTCTTAATTCTTGTGCGCAATTAGGGGATCTAAGTCTATATTAATCACGACATCTCTGCTTGGCCATGATTATAGTTGTTTGATGCTTTTGATAAGAGCTTGTCGTCTTGGAGTGCATAGAGAAGTAATTAAGTATTGCTTTGATATTTTAATCCTATTATTTTTCCTCTTCACAATCACATGGGGTGTTCTCTATGTTTTAAGTATTCTAATTGCTTGTGCATTTGAGTTACCTTAACAATATAAAGGGCAGATCGGTGCGCTGTGCTCCCGCTAATGTCCGGGGTCCGGAGAAAAGCCGGACCACAAGGGTCTATTGTACGCAGCCTTACCCTACATTTCTGCAAGAGGCTATTTCAACGGTTTGAGTTACATTAACAATGTTTTTATATTATCGTACAATTTAATTACCTGAGATGTGCGAAAACTGATCCGAACACCATCGTTGTTAAAAATCATCAAATTTAGATCTTTGTGACTTAGTTTAAAAGTGGTACTATGATGAATTTGAAATACCTAAGCTGGGAACATGATACTGACAAATGACTGTAAAGTTCTGAAGATTTTAATGTATTTAGGTTCTTGGATCTTAAGCAAACATTTTTCCACCGTTCTATTTTCACATGATATATACTAGACGGTGCAGGAAAGCTCCACCAATCATGTTTAGTTATCAATTCTTAATTTCATTTTAACTTGTACCCACTTTAAAAAATATTAATTAGTACTCAAAGTGTAGATAACTTTAGATGAATTGGAGTTTAGCTGATATTTAAAGATGTTTCAAATTTTAGATGATTTGGAGTAGTTTTAGGTGTTGAATCGTGTACTGCATTGCTGAAATTCGAAGAACAAATTTCTGTTTCTCGGCAACTTGCACTTCAGACCTATTTGGCCTTATGTGCATGAAAAGATTGGTTGCACTTCATACCTATTTGACCTTAAGTGCATCTTAAGTGTAATTTTTGCACTGTAGATTTATTGACATTAAGTCATTGCACTTCTTACTTTTTTTCTCCTGCAATTTCAGACTCGATAACTTTGAAGTTGATCGTAAAGTGTGTAGACTTGCTAATTTTTATGGGTAAATTTTAAAAATAGCCAGATTTACAACTGGTCGTTCAAAAATAGCACAATTTCAAAAGTAATCGAAATTTAGACACTTTTTATATAAAGATAAATCTGAGCGAAAACACTGTTCAAAACCCGAAAAATACTCCAGTATATTATGCTGGAGTTCCAGCATAAGTATACTTGAACTCCAGCATATTATATTGGAGTTCCAGAATAAGTATGCTGGAACTCCAGCATAGTATGATGGAGTTCCAGCATAAGTACACTAGAACTCCAGCATAATATACTGGAGTTCTAGCAAGTATATTGGTTCAGTATAATATACTGGAGTTTGGAGTACCGGTGCTCCAGTCTCCAGTATATTATACTGGAGCCAGCAAAGTATACCGGTCCAGCATAATATGCTGGAGTTCATACACAAGTGCACTGAACTCCAGTATATTATGCTGGACCGGTCTCTATTGTAGCAAAATAGTGACTATTTTTCATTGACTTGGTAAACGCTGACTATTTTTGATTGACCAGTCCGAAAACTGGCTATACCGTGCTATTTTTACAATTTTTATGCAAAGTGGATATAAGTTCAATGCTTACTCCAAAATTAGGTATAGATACAAATGCTCCGCTTTAATGGAGGAGCAAAATGGGTATAGCGGGACTTCCCATTTTAAGGACCCGGATCCAAAATCTTTGATCAAGTACAAAGAGATATCGTCCCACCAAGCCCGTCGGTCACACATTTTCTATATCTGAAAATTTGGAAGTTGTTATGGAGAAACATTGAGTTACTTTTTCATGCTTGTGTTTATGGACGAATGAGAGAGTGACCCTTGCAATTGAAATAGAGCCATTTATGGTTGCCATCAACAATTTTAGAAAGAGAAGTCCAATGGTCCATTTTGAATTGATTAGTTAATAAGGAACCTAGCAATTTAATGCGGTTAATTGGTCATGAATCTAGCTTAGATTATGTATCTACCAAACATCTCCTCTCTGTATATTTTGCTGGACCAAAATTACACTACAAAATAAATCCGCAGAATGGCCTAAATGGCACCTATACTTATCCCACTTTGTCATGCCGGTCCCCAAACTTAACAATTTGTCAATTGAACACTTACACTCCTTCAAACCGTGTATAATAAACGCTTATGACACGACGCTATCAGTGCGTGTAATACAATCTCCTACACGTAGGACGCCACGTCAAGAAATTAAACCACGTAGGCTCCAGGTCATTTATTATGGCCACATAGGAAAATAAAATAGGAAATAATTATTAACTCCCAACCCAAATTTTCCCCTCATTTTACACTTATTCGCCTAGGTTTAGTCCCTGATAAAGGCGGCGACTTGGGTTGGCGGCGGGAGGTTGTCGGCGACGGTTCCGTAGTTCACAATCAAAATCAAATAGAACACTCATCTAAATTAAACGGATCTCAAAACGTATGGAGAAAGGATTTTCAATTAAAATTTTAGGAATTGTGGCCCTCCTCTGCATCGGCTGCTTCGAAGGTTTGGCAAGCCACGAGTTCCTGCACCTTATCATCTGCAGCAACACCTTCAGGCGCCCCGGTAGCTGGGGCAGCAATAGGTGCTTGCTTGTGGAACTGCTTTGCTAGCTTCTTCAAATTCTCCAAATTATCAGGGCCCAACTAATGAATATTGAGGAAGAATATCCTGCAACTTCTTGGTCGGAGGAGAAAATACGCTTTGGGTATTAAAACAAAATAAGGAGAAAGAGAAAGGTGGGCATGAGGAAGAACAGATCCACCCATTTGCTTCAGTTATTTGGATCCACTCGTTTGCTTTTTGCTTTTTTTACTTATTTTATTTTTATTCTTATTTTACTGATTTTTTCTTCTTATTTTAATTATTTCTGGTTCAAAATGCTCAAACTCACGCTCATTATCCGCGTAAACTACATCACTTTGTCCAGCTCAACCATTATTTTGCCACATGTGCTTGGTCAACGGTCAGAGGGGTTTAAATAATAGGTTTTGATCAAGTTAAAGTGTCTGGATGAAAACAAGTGAAGTTTGGGGACCGGCATGACAAAGTGGGACAAGTATAGGTGCCATTTAGGCCATTCTGCCAAATAAATCAGAAGAAATACACTTCCTGGAAAAGAAGTTATATTGAACAATTACCCATCCTTTTATGGATAATCATCTCTTAAATCTCATCTTAGAGTAGATTAGATACAAGCCTATTCACTAATTTTTTATTTTTATTTAAAAAAACACATGATATGCCCATTCAAAAGGGGTAACCTATAGTTCTAGGCTATGTTGCGTGGACTCTCCAAAAAGTAGCCGCACCGGATCCTTAAAAAATGCACTAGTTTTGGAGGATCCGACACGTTCCTGCCACATTTTTGGGAGAGTCCGAGCAACATAGGCTCTAGGTACACTGGCTAGTGGACAAGCTGCATTATATACCCACCACCAATATATCGCAGGATTCATCATGACAGGAGCTTTTGCTCATGGAGCTATATTTTTCATTAGAGATTACAATCCGGAGAAAAATGAAGATAATGTATTGGCAAGAACGTGCTTTAAAAAAAAAGAGTGGCCTAGTGGTCAAAGAAGGCAAGTAAAATTTCCAGAAACCAATATTCAGATCTTAGTGAAGAGAAGCACATGAGTTCTTCTCATCTGCTTTGATCCAGTAGGGAAAATTATCCTATATTGTGCTAGTTGAAGATAACATGTATTTGAGATACATACAGGTCACTTCAGACACCAAAAACTAAACAAACTCATAATAGAAAGTTGAAACAAAACAAAGATTTAAGGCATAGAGAATGGTATTTTGCAAACAACTTGATCAAGAATGCAAGATAGCCGAGACAACGTTTGAAACAAAGAAGCAACATAACATTGCTCAGATCATATAGATTACGTTTATTTATTCAAAAGCCCAAAAGCTCTTTTGTTCTGTTCTATAGGATGCACAACTGCATAGAAGATTTCCTCAGAAATGGAGAAATATATAGAGTTTCTATACTTATGAAGGGAGGATAACTTCAAATACACCTAATGATTTATCCTTAAGCTAGTGACATCCAAAAACATTATCAGTACCTTTAACCGAAGAATTTGAATGGCAATTCTTCTATCTTTCATCTCAAGATGATTTTTGTTGCCTACATGAGTAAGTACATTCTGGCATTGTGTACAGCCACAATGATAATAGGTGCATGCACCACTTTTCAGAAATATACCAATTAAGCCACTGAAATGAATTATATGGACAAGATATTTGATTTATTGAGGACATCAAAAAGCAGGTATACAAATAAAACTACCATTTGCAAGGTTATTTACAGAGGTAAAGACAAATATAGAAGTTTCTTTTTTTTTTTTTTTTTTTTTTTGCAAATGACTTGCAACTTGAAAGCTTGAACCAGCCAGGTAAGAGAACTAATGGTGGTACACTAAGCAGAAAACATGAAAAGGTTCTTATGAAGCTCTTGAAAGTACATTTCCTACTGATATGCCTAAATAAAAGCTCAGAAGTATCAACGCCATACTGGGGGGGGGGGGGGGGGGTAAGGCATGCTTGGAAGACTGAAAATGCAAATCAGTTTAGCCTCCTCCTCCTATGTGGACGTGAATCTCCACTATCCACATCTGAAACTCTGGAAGTATCATTTCTTCTTCTGGAAGATGATGTAGAGAGGGACACCCTAGAATCTATTTCAGCAGCAGTATCCATTGTCTGACTCTCTGAGTGTATACCAGCGGCAATGCTCGAAACAGAATCTCTATCATCCACTGGTAGAGGCTGTTCCTGATTCCTCTCCACATTGTTACTACGGAAGTATGG